TATTTACCGACCCCTTGATCGACGCCACGCGGAGCGGAATCTGCCCGTAGGCGGGTCGATTCGGATCGGTTCGGATCGGATCGGTTCGGTTCGGTTCGAAGAGACGCGACGCTGTGCTGCTCTCTAGAAGCTTTCGCATTAGAGCTTCCGCATTAGAGCTTTCGCAATTTCGGGCCCCGTAGGGCAGATGGCCACGCGCTCGATCTCCCATCAGCTCGCGGGACAGGATGAAACTCTCCGAGTGCTCGTGGTGCGGGGCCGCTTAATGGTGGGGAGGCTTGGAGGGGGTGGGAACTTAATCGGCCGACTAATTCCGAACGCCTCGTGATGCGGTTCGTAAATCGCAGCTGGAGTCGAGTATTAAGGGCAATCGGTGATCGATGACGCATAAACCTCTCGGCACGCCTTGCTAATCCACGACCCTGCCGATGTCCCTTTCCCCCGGATAAAGACCTTGCGACGTCACGTTTTCTTCCGCCATTTTTTGCTCGGATTCTGCCTCGTCGCCTGGGCCGAGTACTTTGCTACCTCCTGGTTTTCGCACGAACTTTTGGACGTCGTGGACGAGAAGATTGGTAAACGTCTTTTTCGTCTGTCGTTCCGATAGCGATTAACGCTTTATTTATTCGATATATCTGTTATTACTTACAGCAAGTATTATAATGACGTTGGTTAAAAATAAAAATAAAGAAATGTGCTCAAATAAATTGATGAATAAAATTCATCATGAAGAACTCTACGCATACTCAGCTATATTTTCGCGAAAAAAGGTCGTCGCTCGACCTTTCAGTGTTCATACTTAATGTTCATACTTAGGCGATGCGTGTGGCAGAAGAATGCGATGATGTTGACTGTTTAGATAGTATTAGAAGAAAGATGTGTGCCGATGATGTGATTTGAGACGAATGATTCCAAACGGTGTATTAGAGTGTCAGTAACACCGCACTTTAATCCTTAGCGCTCCATTAGCTCCGCTGTGGAGACATGCATCATTTGTTCCGTAAATTCGAAGGCTCTGTTACGGAGCCCAATGTTTTTAGCATGATTACACCGAAGATGCTATGTTTTTGTCGACGATGGCAATTGTTATTTGTAGTGAAAACGTGCTTAGCGTGTGTACCATTACGATGAAAACATTTTTTGCCCATTTTTATACTTAGCAACATAAAATGAATAAAACTAAACGCTTTCACAAGGACGTGTAATTTCTTCCGCTGAAAATAAGACTTCCTTCATCTCGGGCGCTTTGCTCCAAAAATGTGCCGCAGTTGCTGTTAGTGATATTTTTTAGAAAAACGCTGTTCAACTTTATTTTAGAACGTCCGAAGAATATTTACTAATTTTTAATTTAATTTAATTATTAATCGAACCGATTCCAGTGAAGATTAACAATAAAAAAAATTCCGGCAAACTCGCGCAAAAGATATTTTTGTTTCAATAATTCCGCATCCAAACAGAATTCAACGGACGATTCGCGATGCTAGTTTTATAATAAATCGCGTCAAAGAACACGAGGGATATATTTATTTAAGAATTGCGAAGAATATCGTTAATAGTAAATTTACCCATTTCGACGAGGATGCATTTGCTGCTTGGAAATTTCGGTCACGATTCACGATGTCGATGCACCGACCTCGCACAATGTTAAGTAGATACCATTACGATTAAAACATTTTTTGCCCATTTTTATATTTAGCAACATGAAATGAATAAAATAAAACGCTTTCGCAAGGACGCGTAATCTTTTCCGCTCAAAATAAGACTTCCTTCATCTCAGGCGCTTTGCTCCAAAAATGTGCCGGAGTTGCTGATAGGTAGTACTCGTGAAACGCGTGGAGCGCTAATGGTTAAATAAAAAAAAGTTGAAGTTGAATGATTCCAGCTTGCCGAGTAAAACGCTTCGATGCGTATTGTATGATCCAGTATGTTAATATTTGTTAGATTTTAGAAGCGAATAATTGGTTGCGTTATTCGACACGGAATTACCGACGACGAAGCCACAAATGAACCTTCGACCTTGACAGTTAATGGATACGCTGACGGATTCGCGGTAGCACAAGGGGGTGGCAGATTGCCGAAGATGAACTATTAATTGCAAGTCGCAGACATTTAGAGGACCGAAGCTGGTCGGAAGTCAGACCCAATAGACAAGCGGAACGCGATAACAGATTTCGATCATGTTATACTCCCGGCGTAACGTTACGAAACTCGTTACCCTAATCTCTGTTTACACTGCAACGGTGCTGCCTGCATAGTTCGTTATACCGGACGCAGTCGATCCGTGATGGATTTACTTTTCGATTGAACGGGCAGTCGATAGAGCTCGCACGAGCTGTAGAACTTCTCGGAATATCGAGTTCCGAATATGTAATGGGAGAATCGAACGAGTTTCGCAAATTATTTCGTACCTGAAATTCCGTCTCGTCGACTGCAGAATTAGAAGCGATAATTCTGCGACGCGCTAGTGATCAATTTTTACAATCAGAAACTGAAGATATAAATCATGGGAATCGTGAATATTCACGAAAGAAAAGGATTCTTCAACCCTTTCGCGCCGAGCGCCGCATATATGCGACATCGAAATGAAGTGTATACAGAAGACGGAGATGTGTAATTTGTAGCAAAAATGATAAAAGAACGGATTCGCGGTACGAGTGCAAAGATTGCGATGTTGGCCTTTGTATAGATCCTCGCTTTCAAATATATCGCACAGAATTATATTATTAGTTTTTACATATTATTATCTTTTAATAATTTTCGTCTCGTTATTAATTATATTAAACATTTAATCGTTAAGCTTTGTAATTATATAAATACCTATATAAATTTTACCTATATAAATTTAAAATATTTACATTTTTAAATTAAAAATGTAAATATACTTGTTACATTAGAGCAACGATTGTTTTATTCGGCACAGTTATTATTTAAGACTTGGAACAACATATATACAGAAACCACGCGCACTGTGCATATTTCTGAAGCGAGTTTCCGTTCGGTGACGATACTTCGGCGGATGGAGCTGCCGTAGCGAAAGGGTTGATGGCGTATAATATTGTGTCACAGTCGTTGTAAAGATTTGGAACATGATCTGCCAAGATCATCAATATCTCAACATTAAAGTAAACGTTGGAGTTCAATAAACATAAATATAAATATAAATAATATATATAATAAATATAAATATAATTTATTTAATTAATATAAATATAATTTATTTAATTTATATATAAATACATAATAAATTCAAATACAAATTATCTGTATATTTATCTGTTATAAACAAGTGCTAATCAAACGAGTGAAAGGCTAATCAGTGAATTGATTAGAAGCAGAAGAATTGTTCTGCAGTATCGTCGCGCCGTTGCGAGAAACAAGCTGCTCAAGCGTACAGAAATCTGGAGAAAATTGAACGGCGTCTGCACTTTGAAACGACGAGTTCCTAGGGAATTCCAAAGGGAAGTGGAAGACTCCGGTCTACGTAACGGCGACAGAAACATGTGTTGGTAACGTTAAATATTTAGCCGACGAGAGGGATGCAGGCGCTAAGTGAAGCTTAACGATATTAGCCGCTGTCTGGAAGGTTCATAACGATCAGCGTCAAATTACGGTGTCCCCTAGCCTTGATGAGTACTCAGTTTACCTCGAGATGTTGAAAGTGTGCTTTTTAACGTTTAATGGATAGACGGTCGATTAACGTGGGGCGATTTCAGATGCGTGTCGGTCGATAATCGTTTCTTTTTAATTTTTACGCGTGAATTTTTCGTTTGCGCGCGTGCGCGAATTTTCGCAAGACGAGCCTCGCATATATAAAACATTGATTCTCGAATTACATCGAATCATCGCTTAACGGTAATTAGTGTTGTCTCGTCGATTTTCATTCTCGGCATGAAACGCTAACGCGTCAAATTGAAAGCAAATTCACCAAGCGATGAATTATAGATACATCGAAATATACGTGAAAAATTATGTTCATACGCGAATTCATCGCACCTGCGAATACGTTTAATATTCGTTCATTAAACGTATCTGTAAATACGGTTGATGTTTATTAATTAAATCTGAAATTCCTGCGACACGAGCTTCGGAACGGTGTACACGTGCTACGAATAAAACACGTACATTACGGATGCACATATTAAAGTTTGTATAATTGCTGAATAAAACTCTTCCACGGGGATCATAAATTTTCACGTTAGACTGCGGATTCTGCACATTCGTAATGCTACAAAAATGTTGTTTTCACAGCATTCCTAATCCGTTGAAAATATTACCGCGAGAAAGAAAATTATACTTTCCAATGCTTCACTGTATGTTAAAAATCCGCAGTATAATAATCGCAATACCTAAATACACCCGACAGTAAAATTAAAGTATCATTAACTTTTCGCCGGAAAATTGTCAATCTTTGAATAACTGTAACTCCGTTAACAGTTATTATAAAATTATGACTTTCTTTTTCAATTAAAGCTCGAAATCTCTACTTTGCAATACCATACCCTAATTTTTAATATCATGCATCTTCACGATCGTAGTATCCTAAATCTGAGGGCATCCTCATGCTACTGAAAAAGTGTAAAGTTTAACGCTGTGTATGCAGTTGGAAAAATTTTTTTCGAGCATGCCGTTTATATAATATTGCAAAGTTTGAATCTTCCCCTTTATTTCGAGTACTTAATTAAGTCGCTACGATTTTTTCTCGCAAAATTACTGCACTTTGAAGTAACCTCCGTTTAAAGCAGATGAGACATAGGGTAATGGAGGTATTGGTTACTATAGGGTAACCAATTGCTGTGCCTTTGGTTTCTTCTCAGGCATGATTAACTAAGACATATCCTATTCTGTTTATTTTTTAATAAAAAAAATGTCATATATATTGTTCGATAAATATAAGGTTAATTATGCCCGAAAAAGAACCAAAGACACAGCAATTGGTCACTCGACGGTAAGACTTTAAAAACGTCCCGAGGATAAAGAAAAAAAGGAATGTGCAGACTCACCGAATAGTGGCGGCGGTTCGACGTCTCTCACAGACAAGCTCGACGATGCCTGGGACCCGCTGGATTCCGTGCTCTGCATGCACCTGAGCCTCCTCCTGAGTTTCGGCATGTCAAAGGGCAGATCCCTGAGATCGACGCTGGTCGCGCTGCCCGAAGTGGTGGCGTCCTGTTGCATGAGCAGCCGCCTTCTCCGCAGCTTCGGCATATCGAAGGGCAGGTCGGAGAGCTCCGGCTCGTTGTCGACGAGATTGATGTTGTCTAGCTGCGGCTTCAACAAGTGGAACCCGAACGGCTTGCACTTGATCCCGGCTCGCGACTCGATGGAGATCCCGCTGTCCGATCCCTGGATCTCCGCGTCTCCGGAGGACGAGGACTGAAGCGCGAGGTTGATTAGGTTCTTGTTCTGCGGGGCGCGTCTCTTCTTGAACGAGGTGTCCATGGGCGAGCCGACCGAGTTGGTGTTGGTGTTCGCGGTGTTGGTGTTGGTGTTGGTGTTGGTGTTGTTGGACGCGGTCACGTTGTTCTCGGTGGTGACGTTCTCCTCGGGCGAGGCCTTCTGCGAGTTGTTGTTCCGGTTGTTGTCCGAGGTCTCGGAGGCTGGCTCCTGCGACGACTTGTCGGAGATCGGGGACAGAATGTGCAGCTTGTTCGCGTGGTTCGTCAGGAAGCCGGTCATCGACGGTTGGGGATGATGGTGGTGATAGTAGTTGGTGCTGCCGCTGTCGGAGCTGTGGGAGCTCAAGCTGGTGCTATGGCGGCTTTCGGAGCTGCTGGTCGACCGGTTGCCCTCGCTGGTGCTGCTGCGAAGCGACTCCATGCTCCCGCCGCTGCTGCTGGTCGCCATGCTCTCGGTGCTGGAGTAGCCTGGTCGGCGCCTGCTGGTCCGCAGCTTGAACTCCAGCAGACCCACGTCGCGACGGGGTCTCAGCAGATCGCTCTCGGCCTCGTGGGGCCTGCCCTTGAACTCCATGATCGGCTTGCTCTCCCGGATCAGGCTGCGCGGCCGCTGCCGGTCCTCCCTCGGCCTGCCCTTGAACTCCAGGATCAGCTCCTTGTCGAAGCGCCGGCCCTGGGAGGACTCCACGGTGTCTTGAGCAAAATTCTTTGGTCTGCTTTTGATCTCCAGTATGCTGCCCTCGCTGCTCTGCGGCGAGTCCTTGGCCCTCAGCGAGGACTTCACCGGGAGCCGCAAGTCCTTCAGACGCGGATGGTCCGGCTGGGAGGGTAGGTTCGGCGTGCTGCGGATGTTCAGCAGCAAGTGGTCTCGGTTACCGTGGAACTTGGCCGGCAACGGCGCCGTGGATGGAGGCGACGGAGTGTAACCTCGGGCCGGCAGCCTCGGCGAGCCGGTCTTCTCGTCGCTTGAGTTGATCTGGAGGGATTCGATATCTTGGGACAGAGTAGAAATATTGTCTGATTGCTGTTGCTGTTGTTGCTGCTGCTGCTGCTGTTGCTGAAGACGGCTCGGAATCGGTTTTGGGCGGAGAAGTACGACCTTGCGTCGGTCTTTGCTGCTGTGGGACTGTCCCGCGTAGGCGACCTGCTGCGGCGCCGGCTGTTGCTTCGACGTGTCCGTCGACGAACTCGTCCTGCTCACTGGGATCGCGCTGCTGCTTCTCATCTGCATCACGGAGACACGTTTGCTAAGCGACATCCTCCCGACTCTTAACCTTTTAGGTACGGCTGAATTCTGCGCGAGGCTATTTCTCTGTGGACGGCAGAGTCTGATGTGTACTGTACAGAGTCTGATACTGTATATTCTGTCTGTATATACAGGGTGTCCGGAAAAGGTCTCGCAATCCGAAAGTGGCGGGTTCCTCAGGCCATTTGAAGCAACTTTTTCCTTTACAAAAATTTTCTCCGAGGCACCGTTAACGAGTTATTAACGAAAAACAGTGACCAATGAGAGGCGAGATCAGCTGCCGCGAGATGGCCGAGCCAACGGCGCCAGCGGTCGAGGCGGTCGAATCCAAGCTCAGCTGGCGCGAGGCCAGCGTTGGTTGAGCCGCGACGCGTCAGCCGTAATCGATTCTTATTGGCCACTGTTTTTCGTTAATAACTCGTTAACGGTGCCTCGGAGAAAATTTTTGTAAAGGAAAAAGTTGCTTCAAATGATCCGAGGAACCCGCCATTTCCGGATTGCGAGACATTTTTGTGACACCCTGTAGACTGTTGTAAATCGATGTGAAGACAAAAGAAGTGTGAAACAATGCATATGAAAACGATTATTTGATTCAAACGATGAGCGAGTGAGCTTCGGATAGCCAAGTTAACTTGTGTCTAAGTAGATTCGTATTTCTGAATTGATGCACAAAGTCTTGTATCAGGTGGGCCGATGAAACTTGTCGCATACGAAGTTCAAAGATAAACATCGTTTCTAACTAAACTTCGCGAACAGATTGCGAACTTTACGCATTTATGACAAAAATGAGTAAGTGAAATACAAACAAACCTACAAAGGACTTTGAGAGAATTTAAGTGTACTCTTGTGTTATCTTTGATGTATTGACATAGTCAAATGAAAATACACATTCTGTTTAACCAGTTAGCTGTGTTTCACGAGTATACTCGTCATGGAGAAGTGTCAGTATTTTGTATCATGATGAGTATACTCGTCGTACGTAAATAATAGTGACCATTGGCTATTTAAATTGTAATTTAAATTGTAATTCTCAAATTTCAAGATGTTTAGAATATTTTGTGGCCAATCCTACAGAAAGATATTTACATTGTTATTAAAATAAGATTAGAAAGGGATCGCTATTATGTATCGTTCCTTGCTTTGCTGAAATTTTTTTTGAATTTATTTGATTTTTCCACCATGTTTCGTTTATTATGTATGATGTAGTATACGTTAATGTCAAGTGAATAAGTAAATATTAGTAAAAAAATTGATAAATTTATAAAATAAAACCCTCTCTTTGGTCCAATATTTTAACAGCGACGCTAACTCTGTATTTGACGAGTATACTCGTTATCGCTTGATTCTCGCGACACACATAAGTGCGCGCTCTGAAAAGGAGGCGCCACAGCTAACTGGTTAATATGGAAGCTAATATGTTAATACGGAAACGTTTTATTTCGCATAAAGCTCCGCAGTCTATTCAGTGCGATAAACTGAGAGCGCGATAGAGTCCGTGAACACTTAGATACGTTTGTAGAAAACCAAAACTCGTAATAAACTAGCTTTTACCAGTTTCTTGGGTTACAAATTCAATTATTTCCATTTCCTATTTCGAAGCAGTAGTTGGTACAACCCACAAAGATATATCTTTACCGCTCGAGGTATATCTTTAATTCTCTTTCTCTTGCAAAAAGTTACGAGGCAGCCTAACTCCAATTTTCCCCAAATACAATCCTTACCTTAAAGGTAGCCACCCGTGCCAAAATAAGCATCGGCTGATCTACGCACCCTATCCTTGCCTTAAAGGTAGCCACCCATGCCGAAATAAGCATCGGCTGGTCTACGCATCTCCCTTAGAAAAATCCCAATTGCATGCAACCTCCGGCCACGCAAGGCTGCCTGGCCCTCGGCTCGTAACACATGAAATCCTACGACGATACGAAAATTCGCGGCAACTTACTTGGGAGTGCAGCACGGGATGATTGGTGACCCGATCGAGGTCATCGAGGTCATCGTCGGAACGGTTGACCTTGCAGTCGAAGGCCGTCTCGTAGAGGTGACGTTGCCTAGCCATCTCTTCCTCGTCTTCCTCCAGGTCCGCGTCCTCCTCCTCCTCTTCCTCCCCTTCGTCCTCTCCCTCCACGTCGTCCTCGTCCTCGACGAGTATCGGCTGCGGGTCTATCCTCCTGGTACGTCGTAGCTTGCGCACTTGGTGCCGCGTCAGTTGCGGCTGCCGTTGATCTAGCTCATCCTCCTCCTCATCTGGCGATGCGACGCAGGTACAAACGGTGGCTGGCAGATCATGGCTCAACAGTCTATGCGGAGGCATGAGGGTGTGATCCCACTCGGTGATGATGCACGACGAGAGGATCTCGTTCCTGGCTGGGACAGCATGCTCGCTCCCCGACGTGGGGCTCACTAGATCTTGGCTTTGATACTGTTGCAGCTGCGTCGGCTGCAGCTGTTGTTGTTGTTGTTGTTGTTGCTGCTGCTGCTGTTGCTGCGGCTGTTGTTGTTGTTGTTGCTGTTGCTGTTGCGGCGGGTGTAGCTGCTGCGACGAATAGGAACCCCCATCACCTGCCACCGAATTCCTCTTCGGTATACCGGGTGTCCTCGAACGTTCACCCGGCACGTCGAGACTGACGCTCTTCCGATATTTGCTGATCGGCTGCGATTTTCTGATCTGCTCCGGTATTTTGAATAGGTCGCCGTAGTAGTAGGGCGAGGGATGACGCGTCGGTTGATTAGACTCGGTCGGCGATTGATCGGTTATGTGCACCACCAGGCTGGCTAGACAGTCCACCACCGCGCCGTCGGTCGATGATGCCACGTCTTTGTCCCTGTCTACTGAGGCAGCGCGGAGAGAGGAGGATGCGTACAGGCTGTTCTTCCGCTGTCTGATGCTCCGCTTCTGACCCTCCTCGTCATCCTCGCAGGATGACCCTGAAGCTGACGGGTCTGCAACAAGCAGAAGGATTTTACGTTGGCATTTTCTGTTCGGCAATTTTATGTCAACGTGGTTAAGTTTGGTTCTAGTCTAGTTGTTCGATTCAAGCTAGACTTGTTTCACTTTTCTGATCACAAGCTACGCTTGGTTCTATTCTAGTTGTTCGATTCAAGCTACACTTATTTTACTCGTCTGATCACAAGCTACGCTTAATTCACTCGTCTGACCCAAGCTACACTTATTTCACTTGTCTGATTGTATGTACACCCAAGTTATACTTGTGACATTATACTTGTGACATTATACTTGTGACAGTATACTTGTGACAGTTATACTTGTCCGACTGTTTGTTGCCTTGTTCTACTGGTCTGTTTGTTTGTCGTCTCGTTCTACTTGTCTGACTGTTTGTTGCCTCGTTCTGCCCTAAGCTACAATTATTTCACTTGTCTGATTGTATGTACACCCAGTTATACTTGTTACAGTTATACTTGTGACAATTATACTTGTAACAGTATACTTGTGACAATTATACTTGTCCGACTGTTTGTTGCCTTGTTCTACTGGTCTGTCTGTTTGTCGTCTCGTTCTACTTGTCTGACTGTTTGTTGCCTCGTTCTGCCCTAAGCTACACTTATTTCACTTGTCTGATTGTATGTACAGTAATGTCTCCCTAACTGACGCTTGTGCACAAAAATGAACAATTTGGGAAGAGGAGATACCATTATTCGAGCCTTGCGGCTCGTTTTTATAGTTGTTGACAATTCGTGACTATAAAAATGAACCGCAAGGATCGAATAATCGCCTTTCTTCTCCCTAAATTGTCCATTTTTGTGGACAATCTGTGCGTCAATTAGAGAGACATTACTGTACACCCAGCATACAGTAATGTCTCCCTAACTGACGCTCAGATTGTGCAGAAAAATGGACAATTTGGGAACAGGAGATACGATTATTCCGGCTTTGCACCACGTTTTTATAATCGTTGACAATCGGTAACTATAAAAACGAGTCGCAAGGCTCGAATTCGCAAGTCTCCTTTTCCCAAATCGTCCATTTTTGTGAACAATCTGAGCGTCAATTAGGGAAATATTACTGTATTTGTCTGACCGTTGCCTTGTTCTACTGGTCTGTCCATTTGTCGCCCCGTTCTACTTGTCTGACTGTTTGTTGCCTCGTTCTACTTGCCTGACTGTTTATTGCTTCGTTCTACTTGTTGAACTCTGTTTACTTGCCCGGTTTCTGTCGATTCATTCTACTTGCCCGATTTTACGTTGACACATTCGATTTATCTATCTCTCATCCCTATTGTTCCACTTGTCCTACGATAAGTGGTACTAATTTCACTGGTCCGCATACAAGACCCATTTCGCTTAGCGCGTAATAAATTATACCGTTTTACCATTCAGCTATATCGCACGAGATTCTAAGATTATTGTTTTATCGACCAATGCTAATCTCGCAACACCCGCCTCGCAGGAACGTAAGCCACCGAATAGGTTAATATAGACGACGACATTAATCTATCTCAACGTCAGCTCTGCTAATAGCGAACCCATTACCTACTAATAACGACGACACTGCCTAACCTCCGGCATTACTGCCAAACTTCGTGTTTCTGAGACGCGCACGGGGATCTCAAGGTCGTGACAAGAATGCACGAACGAGAAAACCGGCATTCTCGGCCGGATGCCGGTTACACAGAAAATGAAAACGACGGGAAATTTTCATAATCGTCCCGCTATATAACAGCGGCCGGATATCGGCCACTCAGGCGTCGAAGGTAGAGAGCAAAAATGCTTATGGGGAGAACGAAATTGCCACGAAATGGCAGCCGCCACTCCTTAAAAATCACTTCCTCGGTCCGCGAGATATTACCGTAATGGTTTCTGGCTCGGCCCCGCGTTCCCTCCCTATCGTCTCGTCCTGTATTTTCTCGGCGCGCACGTTTCTACCTTGTTCCGGCGTCATCTTTCGTCGGCCTCGCGTCACCGGCGTTAAAGGCAAAACGATCTTTCGGCGTCGGGCAACGGTGGCCGGGAAATCGCGCGGACACCCGGTATATTAGCCGGCGTACGGCACGCACGCGGCACACGGCCGAACGGACTGAAGATAATGGGAGCATTATGCTCGACCGGAGGGCTCCGCCGAAATCCTTCCTCGCTCCTCCTTGCCGGGGTGGTAAGTGCAAGAGGCACACCATAAACCACGCCAGAAGCTGCTTCTGACAGGGACCGCCTTCTCAGATATACCGAAAAACTTTTCGAACCGAGGCCAAAAAAAAAAAGAATGATTATCGGAATCCTGTCTGATCTCCTCTTCCGGCGTGTCTGCCGAGGAGTTACGCCATTCTCGCCTCCGAGAGCTTGAATTAGCTGGAAATTGAAAAACCTCCGAGATCAACGAGGCCGGGTGTCTGATGGGAAAAAGACATACAGTGGAAGCTCGTTTAGTCGAACCTCGATTGGATGAACGACTCGAGACCTGATCTCTGTTGGTTGAACTTAGTCTCAAGCGAGCCTCTATTATCGCTGGAAAGCGAACGTTTTGTTATATGAATGCATATTTCACGCAGGTCACTGATATATTGGTTGGCAACTAAGTAATTGCCGATTTCAGTTATAGATGTCTCTCACTCCCATTTTTATGATATCCGTAAATGTTATACTATAAAATTATTATTATTATTATTATGTTATTTTTTATTATCCGTGAATGTTAGCAACTGGACAAATTGAATGCAGCGGTCAAGGAAAAGCGACCAGAATTGGTCAATCGTAAAGGTGTCATTTTCCAGCAGAACAATGCTAGGCCGCACACGTCTTTGTCCACTCGGCAAAAATTGATGGATATTGGTTGGGAATCGATGTTACACTTATTTCGATCGCTGGACAACTCCCTTCGTGGTAAAACTTTTAACGATGATGACGCTGTAAAATCTCACTTAACTCAGTTTTTGGCCGAAAAGGATCAGACTTTCTACGAGCGTGGAATTTTCAAGTTGTCAGAGAGATGGCAAAAGGTCATCGAACAAAATGGAAAATACATTACAGCTTAAACTTTATTCCAAGTAAAAAGAAATTTTTTATTTCATTAAACAAATCGGCAATTACTTAGTTG